ACATTTGTGCCTCTCAGGATCATTCCGCAAAAAATCCTCAACTTCACGGTGTATCGTGTAGATACGGGTGCTCCCGAATGTTTGTAACATCGTGTATACTTTGTAAATACCAGCGTGGGCTAAACAAAAGATCTTAAGTTTTTCTCTAGAAGAATCATTGTCGAATGCTCTCTAGATTTCTATCTATCTTTGTTCGAACAATGGAAATGATTATTTTCATAGATCACATTGTGAGACGTCATATATTGCTCTTGGTAATTTAGTCTTCTCATATGAACAAATATTTGGTGCTGAAAACAGAACCTACTGCTACATAAATCATGAGAGCAGCAGCGAACTGTGCATTTATGCTAGGTTCTCTATTCGTGATTATGTTGATCCGAGAGCATTCTCTACAGAATCGCTTTAACGAACCACAACACTTTCTCGCTTTTTGCGTTTTCCAAGAAGAGCTCCCTACAAATTTAACCTATGATCAAAACAAGTTGATTTACACATCATTTTTGGAAATGGATTTTCTTAACTAACTGCAGCTCAGATAGCATCTAATAGTAAATATACCTGCTAGAATGGAAGTCAGGATAGTAGAAAAGAAAATCGATTTTCACTGTAGCAACCTGGCTGATCGTTCTGATTCCCAAAAACTGGATTGTCATCAAATGCTTACCCATCATTCTCAGAGAGCATTTTCTATTTGATCTAAATCCTAAGATTGAGTCTTTTAAGTGATTATTAGAAAACCGCAGTAAAAAAGTATGGGAAGTAGATGCATTTCACACAGTACCACTGTGCACTCAATATTCAACTCACCTACACAGAAGTTTATTAAGAATTAAAAAGGAAAAATTTCAAAGTAAACTAAAGATTTTCTGTTTTGATTGTGTTGCAAAATATATAAAATATGTTATATTGCAAGCATTCTAGAGCATCCGGTCAAATACGAGATGAGAATATGTCAAGGCTCTCTGAACTGTCACAACAAGCGAACCCGTATCCGCATCCAGTCACATTCTGCCATCACACCCACACTCACACTCACACCCACACCCACACCCACACCCTACACCCACACCCACACCCACACCCTACACCCACATCCACACCCTACACCCACATCCACACTCACACCCTACACCCACACCTACACCCACACCCACACCCACACCCTATACTTACACCCACACCCACACCCTATACTTACACCCACACCCACACCCTACATCCACACCCGCACCCACACCCTACACTCACACTCAGACCCACACCCACACCCCATACCCACACCCACACCCACATCCACACCCCATACCCATACCCACACTCACACCCACACCTACATCCACAACCCATACCCACACCCACACATCCACACCCATACTCACACGCACACCCTGGTTATAATCGATACAAAGATTTGATTGGATTTGGTAGGTCTTCGTACCGAAAATTTACGATGTTTATGTAGAAACATAGGATTTGTTGCATTCGTACCTCATACAAATCATTCCATTATTCGACGAATTCTCTAATTTCTCAGTGAAACATTTAAATAAAACATTTTTGGCTACGGTTTAGAAATGTCCGTCACTACTGATCCGAATTTATTGACAACGAGTTCACCAGAAGATTGGAAACGTACTCAAATCCATCGTCTATTCTATGTCGATAATGATCAATTATCAAATGATCAAACTTTCATGATTGTTGTGGATCCACAAGGGGTATCGGACACTTCTAGGACTTTGGGTGCATTAGATCTTCAGTGTGTCGAATTCTTTGGCATTTATGGTGATCAAAATGCTCTGAGGACCCGTTTACATTCGTTATTTCCTGATGATGATCGTCACATCGCAAGCTGTTTTGCTGATCAAGATTCAATGCCAACCATTTGGACGATTCATAATGATCGAAGAATTGTCTTGTCATTGGTCTATGCCGATGATCCAACAGCAATTCACACAGAAAAATCCTGGTACTTTACCATTGTGATGCAACGATTTCTCCAAGATATTTGCCCTCATATTTTTGTTTGTCCATCAGAAAATTTTTTTACCAACTTTAGCGCTAAACATTCATTTCTTGGTAAACCTCATCGTCAACGAGCGTATCAGCAAGTGAAAGCCAAGTCGAATGATGTTCAAGCAGTCCAAGGAGTTAAACTAGAAGGTAGAGATAACGTTAAATATCTATTTGACAATCAATGTCAATATGTGTTGATAAGTGATATTAGTCCATATACATTCTGTCTTCGCCGCAGATTTGAAGAATATGATCGAAATGCAACGATAAGATTCCAAGATTTGAAAGAATATTTACAAAAGAAAATCGATTTAGACACTTTGAACTTACGTAATATTCTCGATGTTTGTAAAGAGTGTCGGATTCCCGTATCGCAAGATCAAAAAGATCGCCTCAGTCAGCTCATTGCTCCTAATCTCAAACTTTATCATGATATACGATCAAACAGCGAAATCAATGCCAAATTAATAATTAGAACTCTGCTTGGTGATACAACATTCCTCGGCCTGCGCCTATCCAGTCAGGTCTCAATTTCTGATCATGAGCGTCGTCAATGGATTTATGAGATGGCAGAATGGTTGATCAATCCAAATATTCATAAATCTGCAAAAGAATTTTTACAGGAAATCATTGAAAGAATTAATCAAAAGCAACACAAGAATAAGAATAAGATCTCTATCTCATCATCTGAAGAAGACGATTTAGTTAGTCAACTAAAAAACTATGACCATAAAGAACAAAGCCGCAGATATAGAAACGATCTTATCAACTTGATCCCTCTAGCTCTGCAGTCAGAGAATCAATTCGAAGTTTATTATGATCTTCATCAATTATCTTACGTTTCTTCTAATGCTGAACAGATTGTTCTAGATCTTACCATCAAGCATACTGATCCAAGTCAAATCTCCTTCAGTTCATTAGCTCAATTACTGAACATACTTGAATTATCTGAATCGAACCGTCGAACATTTGCTCACAACATCGAATTCCTTGCTTGTTTCAAAACGTATGATGGCACAGGAGATATTCTTGTCCTTCGTCGACCAAATATCAAGGATAAAACAATTAGTCCTGCTTATGGATATAGTATATTCTATTTGAAGAAGACTATTCTTCGCAAAATCGCTGATTATTATTTATCGAACATCTATGTTGCCTATGCATGTAACACTTCTTCACAAACATTGGTTCTGTATAACATCGATACAGGTGCAGTTACAAAATGTATCGTCAATACATTTGGACAGAGAGACAGAAATGATAATCTACAAATGGAGAATCAAACAAAGAAACCGGCCAGTATCAAAAGTATGACTTTGACTGTAGCACAAGATTTACTCATTCTCATCGACTCGAAATCGAATGTCTATTCGATGGATGTATCAAAAGAGAACTCCACTTCAATAGATTCACTTACGAAAAGTAACGATGGTGTGAACTATGGATCGAACTTTGTTGCTGGTAATGATGAACCGTATGATTGCGTACAGACCATCGGAGAAAAGAGTCCAATCTTTTTCTTTCAATCCAAATCTTTCGTCGATATCATCGATCGAAACTTTCATCAAATTCACAGCTTAAAACTCGGAGAACATTCCATTCCATATCGAATGCAAATTTTTACTGATTTGATGACAACATACTGTGTCCTATTCAATAGTCAACAATACGAAACTTATGTTGTTCAAAGTCTGATCTCTGATACTCGTATTGAGCGTCAACAGAGTTCGACTGATCTTCAACAATCAAGCAAGGAATACATCGGAAATCGTTTGTTGGATATGATTAAACTAGGGGAAATTCATTTCGGTCGATCAAATTCTCTACAGAGAACTCAATATCATTTTCTACTGGCTTCTGATCGGAAAAATATGCTCGACCATATCCATGGATATTTTCGTGATATATCTGTCGCTGCTGATTTACATTTTGATGGCTATGTTCCCGATTTACTAGCACTATCTTCAGATGCTGCTCAAATCTGTCAAATCATCAATAGTCGAGTTCCATTACAGTTATGCACCATTGAAATGGGTACACTGATCCCATTGAACAATGGCCGACGTGATCGAATGGATCATCTAACATCCAAATCATTCGCCATTGAAATGAAAGCCCGAGAGATCTCTTTATCTTACTTGGATCAAATCTTAAACGCCATTGACCACAATATTCCTATCATTGGTATCATTGGTCGACAATCCACCGGAAAAAGTTATCTGATGAATCGATTGTTTGAAACAAGATTTGCTGTCGCTGCAGGTCGATGCACCGATGGCATCTGGATGAGTTATGCTGTATGTGATGGTGAAGCGCATCTTATTTTAGACTGTGAAGGATTATTTAGTGATCAACGAACCGAAGATGAAGAAATCAAACTGATCGCTTTCTTAGCTGCAATGTGTGATGTGACGATTCTCAGTCAAGATTTGGGATTTAGTCGATATCAAGATCGATTATTTGGTCTGTTATCAAAAGCTGTGGAAAAGATTGGTAAAAATGAAAAATTATTTCAAGGAAGTCTTCTGATAGCTGTGAGAGATATAAGTGATAATAATGCGGATGAATCACTCGATGCGGCAGAGCA